TCTCTGGCGCTGAGGCAGACCCCAGGGAGCCGAGAGGCAGGCAGCAAACCCTTCCCCGCAGGAGGGGCCCGGGAGGCGCAGCCCTTGCTCGCCGGGACGCGTGCCTCCTGCATTTTTGGGCGCGCAAGCTCCGCCGGTCGTTTTAAAGATGGCTCCTCCCGAGCCGTTCTTCCAAGACAGCCAGCGGGATGAACGCCAGAGCTGGAGGGGGCTCGCAGACCTTCTCACGAGTCCCCTTGTTTACTGACGGGGACTGTGAGGTCCAGGGAGGGGTGTGGCCTGCTTAAGCGGGTCACCGAGCTGGGAAGAGAGCCCAGTGTAACTGAACAACTGAGTTTTAGATCCTATTTTACTTTAAATAATTTAAACTTAAATTTCCTACAAGTGGCTACTGGCTACTGTATCAGACAGTTCCACAGCCTTAGAAGAATGCATCCTCAGTCTTACTCAAAGCCCGCAGTGTCATGACCAAGAGCAAGGGGCTTTCTTTTTCCTTCTCTTTTTTCCTTCCCAGACTGAGACCAGATTTCTGCCCGTTTGAGGTGTCTAATATCCTTTGATTGCAATTCATTTGAGGGACTTTGTTTGCAGACCTGTGAAAACTGCTGCCTCCCCTTTGCTCTTCTCAGCTGCTTGCAAACGTCTGATTTTCTCATCCGCAGACGAGTGCAGTGATCTCTCATACTTCAGTCATGAGGCATTCACGCCAACTTTGCATTTCAGCCGCTCAGATTTACGGGAAACTAGCAATTCAGCTTCCCAGGAGTCGACACCGTGGTTTCCCCTAGCGCCTTTCCCCGTCTCATCTGTGTGACTGAGCATCATGCCTCTCTCCCTCTGAATAATCTTCTCTTCCTGCCCGGATGAGCTGGCATTTGTGGCAGGAGGATGCTTCGTGGTAGGGGACTGCCTCGCGCACTGCCGAGGAATAGGTGTGTCCTGGGTGTGACAACCCGCCGATGCCCCCTGGCTGTGACAGCCATCACTGCTGAACACCCACTGCCCAGGATGAAGTGCCTCCCTCCCTCCTTGCGTGACTAAGCTGCCAGGATCAGACTCTTCCCTGCTTGGAACTGAACTCTTCAGCTGCGGGAACGTCGCTGGCCTTGGCTAGTCAAGAACACTGTACCCTGAAGACTGGGCCTGGGTTCTTGCTACCTAGATGCTCGCAGATGCCCTAGTTTCTAACTTTCTCAGGCCTTTTTTTTTTTCTTACAAATTTAGTTTTCCTTTCATTCTATGAGCCACCCCATGTCCTTTAATAAATCAGTGGTGCCCCACCATGCCCGGCTAATTTTTCTATTTTTAGTTAGAGACGGGGTCTCGCTCTTGCTCAGGCTGGTCTCAAACTCCTGAGCTCAAGGGATCCTCCCACCTCGGCCTCCCTGAGTGCTGGGACTACAGGCGTGAGCCACCGCGCCGGGCCAGGAAATCCTCTGCCTTTGCGACTTCACCAAGTGTTGGTGACGGAACACTCTGCTGCAGGGGCCTCAGACTTTCTAAACAGGCCCAGTTCACCGTCCCTCAGACCGTTGGAGGGCCAAACTATAGTAAAAAAAAAAAACTATGAGCAAATTCCCATGCACACTGCACACATCTTATTTTGAAGTACAAACACAAACGGGCAGAAACACCCACGTGTGGCCCGAGGGCCGTAGTTTGAGGACGCCTGCTCTATTGCCTCAGGGCACATCATCTAACTCAGAGAAATATATCTGGACTTTTCTTCCAGGGATTTGTCTTTTCCATGTCTCAGATAAGTTCTTCCTCTCCAAAAAAGGCGTTATTACTTTTTTGGCCTTGGAGAACATCTGTTCTGTTTTCCCGGGGAAGCTATCTAACTCTGGAATGTTCCACTCCCAGGGATGGTAGTGTGGACTGAGTCTGCTGCTGCTGGCTCTCCCAGGGGCGTGTGCAGCGACTGTCCGGAAGGCCCTTGGCACCCTTCCCGCCAGGCTCCCGCCGCGCCGCGTTCTCTCAGCCCTGCTCGTGGCGTTCTGGGTCTGCATGGGACTTCCCTGCCGTCAGGGTTAGGGGAAGAGCGCTGACAGTGGGCTGGCAGTTCTCAGAAGAAACTTATCAAATCCATATGTTTAAACCATTAAGAGAGATTTTAGCCACTTAAGAATGTTCTTTGGGAACTTGCCATTAAGAAAAAATCCTTTCTTTCCTAAGGATTTAAGAATCCTTAGTCCTGATACTAAGAATTATATAGTGTCTCCTTTTTTCCTCCTGGCTGCTAGGAAACTCACGGCCAAATCTGATGCTACTCATGAATTCTATGTTATCTCTATACTCAGGCCTCATATTTTCTCTCTCCTCTTTTTCTTTGTCTGAATTTACCTTTCCTATGTTTATTTTAATAAACTTGTTATATTCTTTATTGCAGGCTGTTCTAAAGTCCTTTTGAGAAGGAATTCAGGTATAATGAACAAGTAATTTTTAGCCAGTGGCTGTTCCTACGAGGTTGATGCTATTCTGCCAGGCGGAGTACTCGGGCCTGTTGTGTTCCTCCATTCTAATCTTCCACTACTTCTGTCTTTGGGTTTGGCAAATGAACAGGCCCCAAGCACATGTCAAACACTCACTTAATCATGTTTCCTTTGTTTTTGTTCATTTTTGATTCTTTGGATTGGAAAGGATCACAAACCAAGTCACTTAGCTCATTTCAAAATGAGGGGACACTTTACATAGAGGAATCATAAACGAGTGGCTTGGGGAAGGACGGCTGTCGCAGCCCATGGAAGAGTGCCCTTTGCCATTCTGTTTCACCTGTCCAGTGTTTCAACAGGCAACGTAACAAGGCAGAGGTTGCACCTGCCTACAAAACAAGCAGCTCGGCCCTAACACCTTTCAGTCCTTTGGTTCGAATTTTGTGTTATCTATGTGACCTTGTGGTTATTTGCATTTGACACATTTGCCTCACGGTTATTAACCCATTTCACTGGTAGGTAATATATATATGTATTAATACAAAAACAGAAATATGTTCTGGATTCAAGTATTCATAAATATCCAGTCTTGAAGTAATTCCAGACCCCCCACTGAATGGGCACCCATTTTATATTCTCTTTGCAAACTCTTACCCCAAATTTTTAATGGAAATTTTCCAGTGCTGAAAGTCTAACTTTGAATGCATTAAACTCTGTATGATAGATGAATATATCTTGATTTTTAAGAAAAGGTAACTTTCTAAGGGTCTATTTTAAGTAGCCTTAATATCCCAGACATAAAATGGCATTGTGTATATGTGTGTGCTCTTATATGTACATGTTGCATGTTGGAGGAGTGAACTGAATGTTCTTTCTCTAAGTTCCTTCCAGTACTGGTGAGTTTCCATGAGGACTTGAAACAGCCGTTGTAGCTCTCTCGAGCTCAGTTTCTTCTGAAAGCCTTTGCCAGCCTGAATTATAAGTCCTTGCCTGCTGTGAACTTTTGCAGTACTGCCATGGCCTTGGAGTTTAATTCATCTTCAAAAAGGTAAAACTAACCAAGAGAATGAAAAGACAACCCCAGAATGGGATAATATATTTGCAGATCATGTATCCAATAAGGGTCTAGCATCAACAATGTATAACTAACTCTTACAACTCAACAACGAAAATGCAAATCACCCAATTACAAAAGTGGTCAAAGTTCTTGAATACACATTTCTCCAAATAAGACACACGAATGGCTCCTAACGATGTGAACAGATGCCCAGTGTTACTGGTCACTGGGGAAATAATAATGACAACTGCAATAAGATAATACTGCATGCTTGTTAGGATGGCCACGAAAGAAAAGGACTACCAAGTGTTGGTGGGGGTGTAGAGAAACCGGAGCCTGAATACACTGCTGGCTGAAATGCGAATAGCGTGGCCTCTGTGCAAAATGGTCTGGCAGTTCCTCAGTGAGTTAAATGGAGACTGTGTGACTATTCACTCCTAAGAGTATACCCAAAATAACTGATAACAGGTATACAAACAAAACTTGCACATAAATGTTTACAGCAGCACTATTCACAACAGCCAAAAGGTGGAAACAAACCAAGTGTCTATCAACAAGGTGGACAGATGAAATATGGTGTATTCATGCAATAGAATAGTTAGCTGCAAAAGGAATGAGGTCCTGGTTCGATGCACAACCTGGACGAAGCCTGTACGCATCATGGCAGGTGAAGACAGCCAGACACAAGAGCCACACGCCGCATGGTTTCACTTACATGAATATCCGGAACAGACAAATCCATAGAGACAGAAGTCAGGGTAGTGGCTGGGGTCTGAGGGGAGGCAGGAATGGAGAGTGACTGTGTACCGAGTATGTGTTGGATCCTCTTTCTGGGGTAATATTAATAAAAAACGTTCTGGAACTAGATAGTGGTGACGGTTGCATGACACTGCATGTGTGCTGACTGCCTGCTGAATCGCACACTTTAAAACGGTTATTAGGTTGGCAAGTTTTGTGTTAGGAGTGTTTTACCAACACACACACACACAACCCCCAGACACCTTCCGGATTACAAAAAGGCATGGCCATTTTTGTTTTCACAGGACTTTTATAGATTCTTTGCATGTGGGTGTACCTTTAAACATACAGAACAGTATCTGCTCGACACCAGTGCCGCTCCAAGTGCGCCTTGTGGACTGGCAGCGACCACGTCAATTGCAAATTGGCATCGATTGCTTAGTGGTTCACATACAGGCCGGGCTTCCCACCCCCTCTGCCTGGAGATGGGACCCCGCGTTCACCTCCAGCCAAGGGCTCTGCAGGGCTGCTCACACTTCAGCGCCCACGTGAGTCACGCGGGGAGCGCGTGGACCATGTGGGGTGGGGCGGCACCTGAGACTCTGCATTTCCCGTCAGTTCCCGGGTGACGCGGACGCTGCCGCTCCAGGACCACACTGGGAGTACCCAGGATGCTGGCCAGCGCTGCCCACCTGAAATGTGATATGATGCGAGCCACGCAGGTGACACAACACTTCCTAGCTGGCACATCAGAAAGGCAAAAAGAGGTGACATTAAATTTAATTAAGATATTTTATTTCATCTAGTTTATGCCAAATAGTATCATTTCAATATGATGTCATCCATGTAAAATACTGAGATATTTTACATCTCTTTTCTATGATAAGTCTTTGAAATCTGGTGTTGGTTTTGTACTTAGAGCACCTCACAGTTCAGATTAGTGGCGTTTCAAACGCTCGTGTGGCCAGTGGCTCCTGGTTTGGAGGGTGCAGATCTGAATCTGGCTTGAATATCTCTGGTGCTAGGGAGCTCACTACCTCCTGGAAAGTCCACTCCACAGCTGCACGATCTGAGTTGGGAGTTGCCTGAAGGACTAGCTGGGAAGACCCAGCTTTACTCTCTGGGTCCCCAAGCCAGTTGGCTTTGTCTGTGAGTCCAGCACCTCACATCCTCTGCCTCAGGCAGCCCCCCGGCAGCCCTGAGACGGCTTCTGTGGCTGTTCTCAGTCTCTGCTTTTCTTGTTGAAGAACCTGGCCCAGGGACGCTGACCAACATCCTCAGGGAGACCCAGAGATCAGATGCCCAGACTGCAGATCCCTCCCAAATCAGCAAGCTCACTAAGCCACGGCAGATCCTTTCGCTGTGCTATATCTTACCCCAGCTCGGCCGAGACGGGAGCGGCGTGAGGAAAGCCGTAAGGACAGCTGCGAGTGAAACGGGCAACTTCCAGGTACCAGGGCAGGTGGATATTCCCTCACTGGCCAGCTGTGAAGCCACAGAAAGGTTCTGACAGGAGCAGTGACATGAGCACCAACTGACGGAAGTGAAATGGTTAAGCGTTCTAGGATAGACCAAAGGTAGAAGAAATGAAAAGCAGACAGTTATGAGAACCCCCTTGGAGGTTATTTTGCGGTTAGTTGTCACTGTATTTGCTAATGATTTATTTTATTCCATTTTAGCCACATTCATCCCATGATTTCAAAGATCTCTTCTATTTTCCAGTACATTGCCCATCAGAAAGACGGGCGGCAGAAGTCTGTGGGTGCCAGTCAGAGAAGGCACACATTTCCCACCCCTTCCTCACCTCTGGAGGGCCACTTTAAAGGTTTCTCAATGCCTCACTTCCAACGTGTCTTTCAGATCACGGGATAGCAGACATCTACCTTGTATCAAATATTTTATAAAATATCGGACAGCACACGGTAGTGGACAGGGTATAAGCTTTGGAATTAAAGCTGAATTCAAACCCAGGTGCCACCATTTACTAGAGCTGAACATCACACACGCCAGAGGGTACATCTCAGAATCACGGTTTTCCCATTCGTGGAACGAGGACCACAATGCCTATGTTGGAGGAAAAAGGAGCTAACACACGTGTGTCAAGTGCCTGACAGCGCTATGGCATTTAGTAGGTAGTCCAGCGTGATTTCTGCTCTCTCTCCTCGTTTTCAAATGCTATCCTTTAAGAGAATCCCTACCACTGCTGTAGGTTTCCACGGTGATTTCCCAAGCATTACCTTACTCAGGTAGGGCAGCTGTTACTCCCCCTGTTTCAGAAATGGGAGACTAAGCCACCTGCTCACGTTCATGAGTAGAACTGAGACCCCGTCTGATTTCAAGGCGGTAAAGGGTCTGTCCTTCAGGGAGCTATTCCCATATAGAATAAAACTGCCAGGGAAAAATTTAAAATACAAAAGATAACCTCCTAGGGTGAAAATTAAGTTGGTTAGAAATAAAATATTTCTAATTTTCCTATAAACACATGGATAAAAGCGGAGGTTGGGAACCAAGACAATAGTCTGATCCTGACTTCAGGGACAGATTTATATGCCTGTTGATTTTTTGCTATTCTAACTGTTCTCCCTATATTTTATGTGTTCTGTGAAGAAAGATGGATAAAGCCAGAACTCACCTACTGCAAATCAATCATGCATCTGTAGGAAAAATGAGCCAGAAAAATATTTGGATGTCATGGTCCCTGTTTTGTTTTCATGAATGTTGATTTCTTTAAAGACTTGGACCTACTGAACCTAAGAATCTATAGAGTCCAATATCCAAAGTCTAGAAAGTCACATTTTATTCATTTCAGTTGCTCTTTTTTAAAAAATACAAACACCATAATTCACTGTGCAGTGGCATCAAGATCAACTGGACTAATCCATCAGACTAAGCCTTGAGGAAATTCTCATTTTGCCTTTTTGATAATCCTGTTTGGTAGGTTTCCCAATTTTAAGTACAACACTATTACTCTTGAAAAAATGTTACAATTTTCTATCACAATACATTTTTCAACTGGAAATATAAGTAAATCTCATCATCCACTGTAGTTCTTTCTTATCTTACCCAAGGAAGCCCTTATTGTCAAGTTCTATGCCATTATTTTGCACACACTTTTCTTCATGTATACAACCTCTAACTTAAAACCAGAGCCAAAACAATGGAAAAAGTTATCGTTTGCAAAATTTAAGTTCTCCTCTTCCAAATATTCCCTCTGCCTCTTTTGTAATCAGAAAAATCAACAGCAATGATGCAAAATCTCACAGAGATGACCTTCTGAACAAATCTGTTGTTACCCTAGACAAAAGGGAATGTTCACACTACTTCTCACTGCATCAAATAGAATATACCCTTCAAAAGTGTTCAGTGAATTGAAGCCATATAAGAGAAAGCAATAAATGTAAAATTTAGACTAAAATGTAGTCAGTTCTCCTCTCACCTTTTGCTCCTGGTTGGCACAACAAGGATTCAGAACTAGAAACTTCAGAATCCAGGACGGTGCAATTCAGTTTCCACCTTGTGTCTTCTGCTCTGGAAACTGCAGAAGGTCAACTAACAAGACAAGGACAGGTTTGACGGATCCTTCAACATCCATCTGTTCTCAAGAAAGAACTGAAAGGCAGTAGAATACCAATCCGGAACGTTCTACACTTCCTTAACAAAATGATCTACTGAGACCTTGAGGTGAAAAGGAGCCAGGAACACAGGTCAGCCAACCTAATGAGGAGCTCGCAAGTTCGGAAGAGCTCAGGAGGACGAAAGCTTCCAGAGAATTGGAACTAAGGCTCCCTAGACGTGAAGTTACTTCACAAAATGCTTCAAATGTACTGGAATCTCCCATATGTGGATCGTAATGTGTGATGAAAAAACAAAACAAAATAATAAATAAAAAAACCAAAACAGGCATTGCTGAGGGGGTGAGAGCCAGGGACGGATTTTAAGGACAGAGCACTGGGTGACAGCTCCCTGGGCTGTTAAGCATAAAGAAAATCCGCACTGGGGAACAAAGGGGACCGGTGGGGGCCCCCTTGTCCCGGGCTGCCAGCCGTGCGGCAGGTCACAATGCTGTGCCCGGAGGCCTCTGCAGGCCGAGGCTGCTTCTGGGCGGCGCCGCCCAGAGCTGGGAGTCCCTACCTGGCTGACCTCCCGCTCCGCGTTGTCAGGATCCGGGCAGCTCAGGGGCTTCTTGGTCTCCGTTCTAAAGGCAAAGCAACATGCGAGGGGACTCTCAGGTATTCTGAAATGTGCAGGACAGTCTCATGGACTCTCGCACCCTGCTGTGCAACACACGTCAGGGCTCCTTGCTCCGTCTGTCTGAAATCTGTCCCTGTGACCAACTACCCGTGCCCTCCCTCTGCCAGCCCAGCCTCTCTTCACCACCGCGCTGCTCTACTTCCACCAGGTCAGCTTGCAGGTTCAGCAAGTGACGTCACACTGCCTCTGCCGTCTGAGGTGACGGATACGTTAATTAGCTGCATGTCCCCATTCCACGTGGAGCACACTGACACAAACCTCACACTGTACCGCAGACATGCGTCCATCTGTGACTTGTCTATGACACACAGCGTCAGCGAGACCACGACAGACAGCACAAGGTGCGGGAAGCATGGCCGGCCCTGCGCGCACGCCTGCCCTGGCCGCTCCAGCCGCTGAGTCCCCGGCACCAGGTGTTCGCCGTCTCCGTCCGCAGCGGATCTCCAGGGCCGCAGGACGCAGCGGACTCTTGAGGACCTCGCCCAGCCTTCCAGCGAGCCCCTTCCGGCCCTGGCCGGCCTCCTCTCCCGAGAGAGGCCGCGGCCTCCTGCGCGGGCGCCAGCGAGGACAGGGCCGACTGCTCTCCTGCCACGGCTGCCCTGGGGGCACGGGCACAGGCCGCGCACACCGCCACTGCTGCGCTGCTTCGCAAGGGACGCGTGGGCGCCGTGGCCTTGGCGCCCCTGCCCTGGATGCGGCGTCCTCCAGGAGTCCAGAAAGGGCGGCCTCAGCTCGGGCCCACGGCGAGCGTCTTCCCAAGAGTGCCGTCAGCTCTCGGGAGAAGAAAGCCGGCGTCTTGAGCCCCCGGCGATGCTCGTTCTCAGCTCCACCGGGCGCCGCAGGAGGGAACACGCCGCCACCATGCAGCAGAGGACGGCTGGGCTCCACGCGCCCGCTCGGGCCCGCACAGCCCTCGCCGGAGAGTCGGGGCGGCGGACACGGGAGCCCGCAGAGGGCGTGCAGGTGCGCCTCCCCGCCGCCAGCCTCGCACCCCGTGCCCGTCCAGGAGCACGCGGGCGGCCTTCAGGTCACCGTGCGCGGGCGGTGCCGACCGCGGCCAGCAGCTGGCGGGACACGGCCGGGCCGCTGCCTCGCCCAGGGCTGGCGGCTGCTGAGAAGCACGGAGAGGTCCCCGCGCTGGCGTACTCTGGCCGCTCGTCCTCGATGACGCCCAGAAGCTTGAGGGTGTGCGGGTGCTGCAGGGCCCTCGTGGCCTCGGCCTCCCTGTGGAGACTTTCCGGCCTGGGTGGGACTTCTTGCACGCCGCTTTGATGGCCACCTGCGTGCCGGTGGGAACGTGCTGGGCCAGCACGCCTGGCGGCTCCCGCCAAGGCCAATGCTCCCGAGGGGCTTGTAGCTGTCCATCTCCCCCATGGGCGAGCGGGAGGCCACGCCGGCGCCATGGTCCCCTCTGCGCTAGGCCTGCGCCCACCGTGCTCACGAACCAGCGCACGCGGCCCACTACACCAGCTAGGCGAAGGGCACCAACGCACGCACCACACCAACTGTGTGAACTACAGTAACGGTGTTAATAAATAATGCCAAACAGGGTAGCAGTACTAACTACACTAACGCTACAAAAGGACAACACACTAAATATACCATCTTAATAAAAAACAATATTAACTACGCTATACTAATGCTGCTAACAAACAATACTAATGATAATAAGGAAACAAAACAAATACTACTAACTACAGCATGGTAACAAAACTAACAAACTACTAACTATCCTACACTAACACGACTAACAAACAATGCTAATTAAACCAACTACACCAACAAAGCTCACTAACAAGGAAAAAGCAGTAGTGCTACGGTCCAAGTCCACAGGTCACCGAAAAGCAGCTCCCTAGGCAATAATGACCGAAATCCTAGGCCAGCCAGGGCTTATATTGGTGTCAGGAATTTCGTAACAATGGCTCTTTGTGAGATCAGAGCAAGAAATGGGCCACTCATGGCTGGGTAAAACCTACAGTGGTTTTTTCATTTTTCGTTTGCAAGAACATTTTCCTCTTTAAAGAAAGCAAGCGTTTTCTGTGTACTTGGTTACAGACACTGATATTAGTTTACTAGAGATTTAAGTCCGTGCAATGCTTCAGGGACCTTTCCATTTACAGTCTGAAAATCTGTAATAACTTAGGCTTTTAAAGACCTCATCACGTGTATCCTTGAAATATTCCATTTCTTTTTCTTGAAATTCCGACTGGTGTCGGGGGCATGCTGCAACATGGCTGACATCAGGATGCTCCTTCAGGTGACACTCCTGGGGCAGGAGGCAGCGTGTCAGGGCCGGCCCTGCATCCCAGGCCCCAGCCGGCCTGGCCCAGAACGAGGGAGAACGAGTGGCAGACGCCCCAGTACAACGCAGGGCCGCAGGGCGAGCAGGCCTGACCCGGATGGCTCCCACCCGGGCGCCGCAGGAGGTCCTGTGAAGGCACGGACTGGCACCGCTCTGGTTCCCGCGCCCGCCTCCGTGGCCGGGACCTGGGTGAGCACTGCTGAGCAGGCCTGGGGAGCCCGCACACCCGGAACCTGGGTGCCAGGGTGGAGTCCCTTCCACGGACGGCCACACCGGCATGCCGGCGCCGTGCTGGCCCTCGGTCTCGCTTGGTCCAGAGGGATGCCATCTCGGCCTTCCTGGGGCAGCGTCAGGGACAACACAGGGCAGCAGGACGGCCAGCCGAGGGCCCTGAAGTCGGGCCCAGCACGGAGTGTGCCACGGGACGCATCTCTGGACCGACAGCAGCCCCGGTGCAGCCTCAGCGCCACCGTGCTGGTCTCCCGGCCGCGCAGCCGTCGGGCTCCTGCCCGCGGGAGGCCCTCGACTGTTTACTGAGGACACTCCGGTTCCCTCCCACTTGCTCGGCGCAGGCAGGGCAAGGCCCGTCACCCGTGTTTCAGGAGAGGAGGCTCAGAGGAGAGCGGCCTCCACCCCCACAGGCGGGTCCGCAGGAACAGCAGAGGACTCTGGACCTGGGGTCTTTTGCCCTGAACGCTGTGTCCTTTCTGATGGGCGTAGGCAGTGCTGAGAGCAGCGGTGACCCAGCTAGGAAGGCCAAGCCCTCCTGGAGGCCACTGGCAGCCGCAGGGGCCAGCACCCTGGCATCAATCCCGGGCTGGGCTCCTGACAACCTCTGCTCCTCCGGACGGGCGGCTGCTGTGAGCTGAATTCGCAGCAGACCCGAGATGTCCACAGGTCAAAGACTCTCTGCAAGTCCATTTCCCTTTCCCATCCTGGCCAACTTACCCAGAGCAGCATCGAAGCCTGGCTCCACGGTGAGAACATCACGTGCTGGGAAATCGGAGACGGCCTGCTGGAACTGCCGCTGGCAGCTCAGGAGGGACTCTGGGCGCAAGGTCTTGATGACTTCCCTCTGGGCCAGGGAGCACTCACCCCCCCGGGTGAGAGAGGGGGAGGGAGTGAGAGGGTGTGACCAGGATTGCTGGCCACCACGCCCAGGCCCAGAAGACCCAAAACCCCAGAGTGAGAGCAATCCAAGAAGGCCACCTGTGCCCACGTGCCTTCCATGCAGGGCCCTAGGGCTTCCCAGAGCTTGGAGATGGAGCCACAGGTGATAAAAGCCAAGGACAAATCACACAGAGGAGGGGGCATTCTGAATCGCGGGGAGTTTCAGATCAGAATTTCAGCGTTTGTTCTAGAGCACGCATCCAGGGGCACGGCAGACAGGCCAGGCCCACTAATGCGTGTCTCCTGTCCCCATCGACAGGGGACGAAGGCACACTGACTCTGCACACTAGGAGGGCACCGGTTCTCCACTAACACACCGAGTGTCACTGGCCAACAGCAGAGTGCTGTCCCCTTGCGCTGACGCAGGAAAGTAGAGGTTGCCAGGAAACAAAAAGGCTGCCCCACGCATGAGAACAAGAAGAGTGGTGTTTAACTCTGCAAGGTGTGCAAGTGGTTTCAGAAAAACAGCCTGTATTGGCTCGTTTGTTTCTGGCAGCTGCTGTCCAGGGCTGTCAGGGGCAGGGGATGGGGCTGAATGTGCTACGTACGACTTGGGAGAGCAATTGTAAAAATCAAAATCGGTGACTAGTCTGCTAAGTCATTAGTTCTGGGATTAATGATGGTAAATTGCGGCCTTCTTTGCTCTGGTGCCCTAGGGCTGAAATTACATTTCCAGTTCCGGAACAGGCAATTCCGGGAGCTGGGCTCTTTTATGACGATTCCTTTTCCTGGCTGGGCTTGTGGAGGACCCCGATTTCTAAGAGGCTGAAAAGCGTGGAGGAGGTGGTTAAATGCTCTCGCTGGAGTTGGTGTGAGTTTGAACCGGAAAAGCGGTGATAGAACCCCCTAAGAAGGGCACGAGAAGCCTCCTCCCTGCTCCCCGGAGCCTCACAGGTTCTTTAAAGACCACGCAAGCTCCTCATTCTGTACCACACAGGGTAGAGGTTCTGTCTCCCACAGCGACAATCACTTTGGAGCCTGTGGCTTCCCGGAAGCTGGGCTGGATGGGTGGACTTGAGGGTCCACGATCCTCTAAGGGACACCAACTGCTGTCTGGGGAGGCAGCCAAGGCAGCTGACTGAGCGCCCACTGTGTGCTGGGGCACCATGTCACCCATTTCACAGGTAAGGACACTGAGGCTCACAGCCCAAATGCTGCGGGGGAAGCTGGCAGAACTGGGTTTGAGTGCAGGCTGGTCAGACTTCACTGCCCGGCGTTCTCAAACTGAACGAGCTGCTTCTCCCAGCAGCAGAGCAGGGAGCTGGATTCACTAATTGGGCTGGGTGGGCTGTGGACTTCGTGGACTTTGGCTTATGCGACAGCCATGATCTCTTCTTTGTTCGTGAATTTAGTTCTGCGCCCAGCAGCAGAGCAGGGAGCTGGATTCACTAATTGGGCTGGGTGGGCTGTGGATTTCATGGACTTTGGCTTCTGCGATAGCCATGATCTCTTCTTTGTTCGTGAATTTAGTTAATGAATCTCGAGGGAAAGAGAGAAGGATCCATTTTGCTTTGTTGCCACTTGATCAGAACAAGTCCACTCGAGCAAAATGTGAGCTCACACGGCCCAGGTGGTGGGGCCCCCGGCCCAGCCCCCAACCTTCCCAGGCTGCAGGCCTCCCTGTGTCCCCTCTGCCGCATCCCCCAGCCTCCTCCGCAGAGCCCAGCGGTGGTGTCCGTCCTTCAGGCCCAAGGTCACACCCTTTCAGCAGGAAGCAGCGCTCTCTGCTGCCCGCAGGTGTGTTTTCTACCAGGATGTGCACTCACGGAGAGCAGGGTGGGGTCTCTCCGCTCCCAGAGCCCCCACAGCTCCCAGGGCTGCGGCCGACGCAGAGCCTTAGGCGTCTGAGCCTCCCTCACCCCCCAGCTGGCCCAGGGCTCCTGCTGCTAAAGCAATCTCCTTAGATTAAGAAAGAAACTTTAAGATCTCTATTCCCACCACTTTTATTTGCTATTTATTGTATTGTTGGTCTCATCCATGCAACAAGGATAGATATTTTTTCAACAAATGGCACTGTAACAACTGTATATAAATAGAAATGTATTCTACCATACACAAAAAATGAATTTGAGATGGATCATAAACCTAAAACATAAAAGCTGAACTACGATAGTTCCACAATACATAACAGAACTCATTTGTAACTTGTAGCAGACACCGTTTTCTCAGATAGGACACAATAAGCACTCACCATAAAAAAGTGATAAATTAAATGACATCCAAATAGAAATTCTCTAGTCTTCAAGAGACATCCCTAAACAAATTAACAAGTAAGTATGAACTCAATAATGTATTTACATAAAGCAGGCCTGTATTCAAGAGAAAGAACTCTGACAATTTAATCATAAATAGACTAATAATCCAATAAAAACAGGACTGAATGTATACTTCATGAGAAAGATATTCACATGGTCAATAAGCAGAGGAAAAGGTCTAATCATCACTAGTAATCAGAAATGCAACGTAAAACCACATTGAGGTACCACTATATACTCATTAGAATGATTAAAAATGAAAAGAGAAATGCTGAGAACACCAAATGTTGATACAACTAGGAATCTCATTCATTCCTGGTGGCAGTATTAAAATAGTACACAATCATTATTTGTCAATTAAAAACAAATTTTAAAAATGAGCAACTAAAATAGTACAACCATTGTGGAAAACTGTCAGTTCCCTATACAGTTAAACATGCTTATTCTGTGGTCCCACAAGTTTATTCCTTGCATTTTACCCAGGAGAAATAAAAACATTTATTCACAAAAAAGCCACCATACAAGTATAGAGAGAGAGTCTTCTATGCATAAGAGCTACAAAACTATAAACCTAATGAGTGCCCATTATGTGTGGAATACATGAATAAACTGTGATACAATTACTCAAGAGAATTCTGCTTGACAGTGAGTAAATATACAATAATATTGACTCAAAATAAAACACGTTTATGAGATTCATAATATGTAAATAAACTATATCAAAATATAACAATTGTGTCCATTATGGAAAGTGGTAAAAAGTAATCTATGTTAGACTGCAACAAGCCAAAAATACATGAATGCATGTATATGCAATAGGGTAGCAATCAAGATATATATATATATATGTATGTAGTACATATTCTTTTAATATTATATTCTTTTGTAATTTATATAAATATGTGCTCTATTTTATATACTATATGCACTGTGCAATTTATATATACACATATATACCATTTATAAGTAGATAATTCTTTTTTGTCTGAGAAAGTCTTGGTTTCTCCTTTATTTTTGAAGGATTATTTTGTCAGATACACAATTCTAGGTTTATGTCTTTTTCCTTCAACACTTTATATATTTAACTCCATTTTCTTCTTGTGTGTGTGGTGTCTGTCGAGAAGTCAATGTAATTCTTATTCTTTTTCCTCTATAGGTAACACATTGTTTTAGTTTTTTTTTTCCTCCCTGGCTTCAAGATTTTTTCTTCAACTTTGGTTTTCTTTTTTTTTTTTTTATTTCGGCATATTATGGGGGTACAGATTTTAAGGTTTCAATAAATGCCCACTTCCCCCCCTCCCATTTTTATCAACTTTGGTTCCTTTGTTTCACATTGATATGAACATTGTGTAGCATAGAGCATTTGGTATTATCCTGCTAGTGTTCTTTGAGTTCCCTAAGTCTGCAGTTTGGTGTCTATCATTAACTTTGGTAAATTTGCAGTCTCATTACATCAGATAATTTTCCTGCCTCCATTCTCTTTTCCCCCTCATTCTGGCATTCCAATTACATTGTGGGTTACATTTTTTGAACTATCCCACAGTTCTTGGGTTTTTTGTTATTTTTATTTTTTTGCCTCTTTAACATTTCAGTTTAGGAAGTTTCTATTAGCACATCTTCAAGCCACTGATTTTTTTTCTACCTCTGACCAGTCCTAGAGATACTTAAAATTCTTTATTTCTGTTTTAGACCAGAAATAATATTTTTTTAACAGAAAATATTTCGTTAAAAAAATTCTTTATTTCTGTCTTTAATTCTGGTG